GGGACGATCAACTGCTCCTGGTAAGATGCAAGCGGGAGCAAGACATGTACCTCGCCGGCCTGGGTTACAATTACTGGCGGATGCAGATGAAGGAGTAGAAGTGGGACGACATCGCCAAGGGGATGGCGAAGGCGGGGAGGCGTAGAGACGTTGACGACTGCATGAAGAAGTGGGACAATTTGTTCCAAAAGTACAAGAAGATACTGAGGTTTCAGAATGTCGGCGGCTGGGAAGACTTCTTGAGGATGTCAAATGAAGAAAAAAAGGAGGACAACTTCAAGTTCCGGATGGACAGGGTGCTGTACAACGAGATCCATGGAGGCACGTTGGGGAACAACACAATTTTCCCTCCCAACGTCGCCGACACCGGCAGTCCGGACGGGGTGCAGCTGCCCAGGCGAGGAGCGGCTGGTGGGGAGTCTGTTGATAGTGAGGTCGGTGGTGATGGCTGCCCTGAAGAACTTTCTTCAGCGAGGGAGTCCGACAACAATGCAGGCAGTGGGGGTGCAGGCGGGAAGTGGAAGAATGCACGTCAATAGGCGTTGGAGTCGATCGATGATTGCATGGACCGCCATGGCGAGTTGATGTTGTCGACGATCGATTCCTCTAGCAAATGACAATGCAGCATTTTGACGACGCAATGCGACATACTCGAGCAGGAAGTTGCTGTTCGCACTACGCGGTGTCCGATGAAACACAGAGGATGATATGCCACACACTTATGGAGATCGGTCCCACCATCCGTGGTCGGTTGACGATGTAGGTCGTTCGAACGAGTGTTGATTGAAGTTCACTCCTTGCGTTTGTAGTTCGCATTCTTTGTTTCTCTTATTTCCTTTATGAATTCTTCTTATGATGAGCACGCTAGTAGACCATACACTGATGGCGTGTCCACAAGATGAGTCGGTCAGGGAAATCGATGCGATTGATGAGCTGTTCGCACTCCCTAGTACGAACAAGGGAACATTTAAACGTCGTTTTTACCTGCAGGCATGTTAGTGTCTGTGTTCTCGGATTTCGCAGCAAAGGGTCGATCTCTTGACGTTGTTTTGCGATGAGTTTGCAAAGCCTGTAATCGCCAAGCCACAGTTAACAATTTTGTCATCTCTGGTGTGGGACACGATTGTGATGCGTCACATTGATTTTGCTTCTGTGTTTTTGGTGTTGTTGGCATCGACGCGACGATCAAACGAACACGACATGTGGGATTTGGTTTGTTGAACATCACTTGATGTGAATGCATGTCATGATTTCATATATGAACGTCACACACTGGATGAGCGAAATATTTGAAATGTTTTGCATGTAGGCACACCCACATAGCAAGGCAAAAAGTGTGAAATGAGGATGCCTTTCGCCATAAATCACTTTTCAAAATGAACAACAAAAAGGTCATTTCGCCCCGGGGAGGGGCAAGCAACCACAACAACGATTTGCATTCACTTTCTTGTGATCATTGTCTGCCAATCTGCGCATGTACCACGGGGAGCGAAGGTATACAAGTCATCCCACCACACCAAACCATTCATGACCAACGGTGGCAACGGATTATAGAAATACACACAAAAAAGGTTCTTCTAATATTCAACGTTCGCACAACTGTACGAACAATACCAAATGCACAGCACCGTGACCCAGTCGAAGGCCAGACAACCGTCTACACAACGAATACAACACACACAGATTGACGAAAACCATGCGGCGAAACAGGCGACCCGACAACTTCGTGCATGACGACTACGGACTGGCGGAGGACAACCTACACACCCCGGGGGGGGGG